CTGTCTTTGAACCTTTGTCTTTATTAAATGGTTCAGGTTGTTTTTCATGTCTTTTTAAGGTACTAACATGGGATGTGGGGAAAATTACTCCACAAAAGCTCCCAAGTCTTAAAGGACTGGTAAATTTACAGTCTGGAGCACCCAAGCCAGAAGAGAATCCAAGCCTCAACATACAGTTCAAGATCCAGCAGCTTGCGATTTCGGGTAAGGGTAAATTTGACTTGTGTTTCAGAGTAACTGAATTTTGCTCAGGTTGACCACTGGTTGCTTAGGAGAGGAGTTATATTCCCTCTCCAGAAAGAACAGCTCCATTTGCCTTTCATGCTGTGTATGGGGCCAGCCTCTCAGTTGCATTGATTTTGGAGGGCACCGTTTCACAGAGCTTCTCTTCACCCCCACCCTCATTCAAAGAAAGCCTCATTCATACTCACAGAAAGTAGAATCATCCTTAAAAGACATTCCTTGCCCACGTGGGAATCTGAACTAAAATCATACCCCCAGTGTTATAATTTGTGAACGGTAGAAGGGACATTGCTTCCAAATGGTGGAAGGGACACTGGTTAATGTCAGACTTAACTGTGTCATGCTCATTGCTAAACAAATACTATATTGGTTGGTGTGACCAGGATAATAATTTATTCCTTTCCTCACCCATTCTTTTTGACACAGGCTTAAAAGTAAACCGCTTGGACATGTATGGGGAGAAATATAAGCCATTTAAAGGAGTGAAATATGTCACGAAAGCTGGAAAGTTCCAAGTGAGGACATGAGAAGAGGCCAAAATTCCTCAAGACCTGTTTGTTTTCCAAGTGTCATTACAGTTTATTACTATTAGGTACCAAGTGGGTGGGAATACGTATTCTAGTTAAAGCATTTGTGTCGAGCTACACACCGCTAATGAAGTTGCTTAGTAATCAGTGTAGGGTTCTTAAGGAGCTTTAAGCTCAGGTAACTTTTGAACGACTTAGCTTATTTTGTATCTTTTCACGTAGGAAGATTTGGGAGGTGATTTAGGGCACCAGCTGGAGCTGCACATGTTAACAGTGAAGGCAGAAGGCCACAGTGATACCCTCTCTCCTGAAACAAGTGAACTGGTCTCAGCCAGCAAGAGCTGTCTTAATCTGGAGTGTGTCAGGTGCAGCCAAATGTCCACCTGATCTTAGCCATCCCAAATCCGCGTCTGTCCCAGCAGAGGAAATTTCCCCCACCCCAAGAAGTTTACAAAAAACTGCCTCTTCAAGTGTTTGCCTTACTCAGCTTTTCACTTGTGCCATTAAGCAAGCACTGTAGCAAAAGCCACTTCCACATGGCCCTGGCCGGGAGCACTGCTGCTCCATGCCCCATTCTCACTGTACTTGGTATTGTATTTTTTATAAATAAGATTTTTATGTAAAGCTCCGATTTTGATTTACAGGGACCTTGCTGCAGTTAAGTACCATCTCAGTTTTGTGCCATTGGTTCAGCTGTTAGCACAGTAAAAATCATTTGTATCAAAAGGGCAAATGCTTTAAGGTAATAAAAGGGAACACTACTGCTTTTAGGAAGTTACAGCAAGCACAAGCATTTGAGATTTTAAGTAAATTAAAGTACTGAAAGAGAAACTTAAGTGAACCTTTGCCACTTCATGTTTTATAAAGCCTATCAAACACCAATTAAACCGTGGTCAGCCTGAAGGCCTCATGCCCTAGTTCATTCAGCCACAGGAGGAAAACGCCTGCCTGTCCTTATCTTTGTTCCTGTTCTTCAGGGCTTGAGTTCGCCTGTCCTTTGTCCTTGGGGGAAACTCTTTCCACGTTGTGTGTTTCCCAAGGCTATACTCAGTAGAGTCCTCCTTGAAGCCATTGTGGTAATTGTCACTGGAGTACTTAAAGTCTACTGTGCTGACAGTATGGGGAGGTACATTATATTGAGGCAGAAACAATCCTCAGTAACATGGAGAAACTACTGCTTATCGTGGTCGGCAAGTCAGTTTACAGTTGTATCATTTCAGTCAACTTTGTTGGCATACAAGTCCCATTATTTTGCCTTGTTTGACATNCTCATTTTATAGAAAAATAAACTGAGCCCAGACAGAAACAATAAAGTTGGTATAGTAGAAAGAACATTTGAAATCAGATACCCTTAGGTTCAAATCCCAACCTTCTCACTAACTGCCTGACCTTAAGCAAATCAGTTGACCTCAACCTTAATTTCCTCATTTGTATAAAGAAGACAAAATCTAAATCATAGGCTGTTATGAGATAATGTATAAATAGTGTTATACCCAAAACTAGATGTTCAACAAATTTTGGTTCTCTACTCTCCATTCAGTCACAGAACTAATTAGTGGGAAACTCAGTGAAGATTCCAGGCCTTAATGACCAGTCAGGATGGCAAAGTAGGTAAATCCTGTGCTTACCTTCTCTCACGACCACATCAAAATTACAACTAAACTACAGAACAACCATCATTGAGAATTGCCTGAAGTCTAGCTGAACCAAAGCCCTACAACTACAGATGTACGAAAGAAACCACCTCAGGATTGATAGGAGGGGCAGAGACGTGGAACGGACTGGTCCCACACCTGTGTGTGACCATTAAAAATCTGGAGGGATATCTTGGCTGCAGAGTTTTCCCCCCTTCCCACTCCCACTCCCCACCCCCGGAGTAGCAAGAGATTCCAGCTGCTTACACGCCCAGGGTTCCAGTGCCAGGGAGAGAAGTCCCCATAATTTCTGGCTGTGAAAACCAGAGGAGATTGTGGCTGAGTGAACTCCAGCTGACCCTCTAAAAGAGACCCTGCACGGACTTACCATTGGAATCACTGCTTCTGAGCTCCAGTGCTGGGGCAGCAGGTGAAGAGGCGACAGGGACATATGTGGGGAACTGAGTTGTCTGGCTTCAGGACAAGGGCTGGAGGGGCACCTTTCCTTCAGACGGAGGAGCTGGTGGAAGCTATTGTTTCTTTGTTGAGCCCTCCCCCTTCCCATTGTGCAGATGCAGGTGGCTGCCATATCTGAGTCTCCATCAAGCTGGCTAACTCTGTTCTTTCACCATGCCCTGGTGATTAGAGACCCCGCCCCATCCAACTTTTGGGCACACTCAAGCTGCTTCCAGTAGCTTTTTCATACAAGCTGCCTGCCATAGCTCATACCACAGACTTTCGTAGGGTCACTCAAAGGTTTGCAGAACCCAGACAAGCAGCATCTGGGTTGAGTGTGTCCTGTACCTCTGGCTGTACAGCCCTAAGTCCAGCACTAGCAGCAGCCGGCCTTGGTTTGTGGCTTGGCCTCTCCAGGCACTTTCAATCAAGGCACAGGTGGCAGCCATCTGCCAATTGCTTTGTGGTTCCTGCCCTGTGGCCCCAGGTGGGGCACGGGCTGCAGCTGAACTTAACCTGTAGCAGATCCCCTCCCTGGTGGCCCTAGGGCTGGTATGCCCAGTAGCCAGCTTCAAAACCAGCAGGAGCATCACCCAGCTGCTTCCAAGGACGATACGCCCAGGGGATGGATTGGGCAGGCACCAGAGCCCTGCTGACACAGATCCTGCTCTGTAGGGTCAGCCCCTGCATCACAACTCCTCCACTGTAGTCACAGCAAGTCCTCACAACCAGTGAGACCGAGGGTCAATCCCTCCTACTGACATTCAAACAGCAACCAAGGCTCAGCTACAAGAGGGCGCACAACCCACACAAGGGACACACCTGGAGCGTGTGGCTTGGGTGACCAGGAAGACTGCACCACTGAA